AGGGTTGGGGGGTGAGTGGGTGCCCGGCTGCCAATCAATATCCCACACGGAGAAAAAGAAATTGCTGCCACTCAGATGGAATACGTATATATGTATTTTAACCAAAGTTGAGATACGATTTAAAAAAAAAACGTACTTTGAAGTCTGTTTTGTAGTTTTAATTAATGCAACGAGGGTTTTTATTTTACTCTCAGTGGAGATAATCTTAATCCATTCACAGTGACCTTTTCTTGTGCAAATTAGCTATACACGCTTGTTTAAGCAAATGGGCCTTTGCAAGATGTCTCTTCCTAAAGATGGAGCTTATAATTGAAAATTGGCTTACTCCCATCTGTCTGGCCTGTGTGAGAATACAACCGTAGATCTGGACTTTTTTATATATAAAATATAATCATATACATATATATACACACACATACACATATACATGCATACAAAAAAAAATTGCTCTGCCTGCAGGCTACAGTTAAATTAGATTATTAGTGTTAGAAAATTTCAGTGCCACAAGTTACTGTCAAAATAACATCTGTCTGCAGAGTCCAGGACACTCTAGAGAATGGAGGGTGTTTAATCTGGATCCTTTTGTCTCAGACGAGGTCAATGCCATTCACAGTTCCATGGGTTTGCCAGAAGTACAATTAGCTAATAACAGGCTGGAAACTGTTAGGATTTGATGCATGTTTTTAGTGAATCGTTTTGAGGTGATTGATGGAATAGGAAAAAAAACCAGGAGTGTCTATAAGCACTTAAAGTTTTAATTTGGAGGAGCAGGGGTCATTGCAGCTATGTGGTTAATTGCCAAAATTTGGCAGTTTATCCCTCTCACCACACTTGACAATAACCACCAAGTGAGTCATTGTAACACCCCCCCCCATCCCTTTTTCAGTGCCTGCTGGTAAGGGAAGATTTCTTTGGCATAGTTTGAATATTTTTTGCTTTGTACAAACCCCTTGTGCAGAAATGAACACAGTTGTGCATGACTTTGACTAAATCTGAATAGAAATCAGGGTCACAGAAGTGCCGCAACAATGCTTTGGGTATCAAAATATTTAATAGAAGTTTGTTGTTAGAACTCATGGACGCCTGTTTATATAGAAATGGCAAAATTATTTCCTTCCTTCTCAGTTTCATTGCCACTGTTCCCAGCTCTCTCCCATGGTGGTTGCTCCTGAGGATGAACAAAAAGGAGCCGGGGAGATGGCTGACACACGCGTGCATGGAGGGAGCTAATTAACCTGGTGGTGAGCGGTCTTGGTTGGGGATGATTTTATCCAGATGTGTCTCAACAGCTGTTTGCATTTTCACGCCCAGTTACTCTAGGACTCACCGCTAATTGAATTTTCTCTTTTCTCCCCTGTGTTTGTTAGGTATGATTACCGTGAAATGCTGCACAATGCCACTTTCTGTCTGGTTCCCCGTGGCCGCAGGCTTGGCTCTTTCAGGTTCCTGGAAGCCTTGCAGGTAAGAGCTGCAGTTTAAAGCATCGGCTACACTGGCTGCAATTCAGCATGCAATAGCAAAGAGGTGGGGAGGAGGGAAATGTGTTTCATTTCCCTAGTGGACAGTAATCCACTTTGCAAAAGCCTCTATTCATACTCGTGGAGCAATTGGCAGCTTCTTCCCAGGAGGGGCTGAGCACTGAGCTCGTCTGAAGGTTGAATTGCGTTACCTCCAGGGTTTCCCTGGATGTGGTGAGGCTGAGAGTTTGGACAGTTTAGAGCAGTATTTTATCAAGCTGCGAGATTTCCCGTGGGAGACACTGGCCTCTACAAGTAAGCCCCGGGGCAGTAAAAATAGCTTTTTGTTTTCACTTAGCCAAAACAGACCTGCTTATGCATTGCCTGTCTTGAGATGGTGCTTGCTGAACATGCAGAAGGTGGCCTGGAGGTTGTTGAGCCCCAGATGGAAGCTTCACATGAAGGTTGATACAGGCTGATCTAAGGGAGCTCACAGTGTGTCTGGGACAGCACCTGAATCCCCTTCACCTTTTAAAAACATTTTGGCTAATGGTCTCCCTTTTTTGCTGTTGGCCAGTAGCAAAGGGCAATGCAAAGGGGCTCCTGAGTCACTGTGGCAGCAGGGCTTGGCAGCACAGTGATCAGGCCTGACACTGACACGCTGCAGCCGGCGTGACCTTTTTTTGTGGCAAGCACCAGTTCAGCCCTGGGTCTTCAGTGGGCCATACAGAGCATCCTGGGAGATGCTGCAGCTCCCCTTTAGGACTGGCACCTGGATTTCCATGGGGGCTGGAGTGGAGGGAAGGGGAGGCTGAGGCGCTTCTTGGTGTCAGTGAGATGGCAGGTGAGGACACCTTACAGGGTCCTGCCTCCGGTGTCCTTTTGCCATTTGGGAAGTGTCCCAGCATTGGCAATAAAGCTGTTAATGAATAGCATCACATCACTTTCCTTCATCAGCTACAAAATGTCCCAGCCGCTATTAAAGAGTATTGTTTACTGCAATGCAGAGCAGGATTCAGGTACCTAAGTGTAAGTGTATAATGTCATTTTAGAAGGCCGGGGTACCCTTCTGGTTTTCTGCTGCTTCTCCAGAAGGTCTCCAGTAGATCCTGTGTCATGTCTGCCAGCCTTTGGTGGGTTTCTTGGATACCCTAGAGCATCCCAAATGCACTGGACACTTAGGTTTAACCACTGAACCCCACACCTGCTGTCACATTTGAGATCCAAGTTCTGGACTGTTACTTACCTCTTTGCTCTTGCTCAGGAGAAGATTAATAGCCTGCAAAGTGCTGTTCCCTCTCCAGCCTCTTCGGAGGAAGAAGTGCGACTGGCTTATTTGGAATGACGAGTCACTTCAGATCCTCCTGAAGAGCACTGCTCAGCTCTTCTCTCACCTGGGCCACAAGTCATGCAGCTTCTGTTAGATACATCAAGAAAGCAGGGAGCATACCTCACTGTACAGGACTTGGAGGCTCCAGATCGATGATGATAAAATGCAGGCACTGAGGATATTCCTAGCGGGCTAGTAGCAGTATTCACCGATTATGATGAATTCCCAATTTCTGTCTGGGTCCAGGGCATGTTGAAAGATGTAATCCACATTAGTGGAATGTTTTAAACATGAAAACACATTGCTAGGTGTTTTCTGGTTGGCTTTTTTCATGCGCTAATGTAATTTCCTTATAGAAGATCACAGTTCTTTACACATTATAAGCACTGCTGTAATGCAGAGACTTGACCAGTCTAAGATCCTGTGTGTAATATATGTTACCAAGGAAGGTACAGCAGTTTGAAAGGTTCCCCTTTATACCATCTTTTGGGAGGTACAGGAGGGACTGACCACAGTCTGGACCAACTTCAGAGCACTTAAGCTTGGCTTGATCCAGAAGAAACTGAACCAGACCACAGGCTCAATGCAGATCCTCTGGTAATAGGTTCTTGCATCACATCAGGAGGCTTTTGGTTTGGATCTTATGTTGTGATCCGGCTGACCAGAACGTAGTGGCGATCATTTATTTACGGAAATACTGCCCTATTTACTGAATATTCGCAAACTTGCTGTCTGTGCAGAGGAACTTGCGCAACTCATAGAAGATTAAATAATTTAGACGGATCATACTGGTACGAAATAGATACTAAATGTGTATGCTTTTTGTTTGTTTTAAGACAGAAAACAATTCTTATTTTGGTAGACAGGTGATGACAGATGAGTTGTGTTTGTGCAGTCACCTCTGTTTGGAGACTTGATATCAAATAGGATAGGGATTTCACTCCTCCTTTGTGGAAAAAGTGCTCTGGAATGAAATATAATCTATATATTCTGTAAGGTTGTCTTGCAACATACTATAAAAATTGAGGGAGTTAGCTCCCTGCTGAATGGTTCACAAAGCAGCGAGGGAGGCCATCATTTTGTATTAAATTCTCCGGTGTTACATCTGCAGCATTTTAACAGTTCTGCCCTCGTCTGGCAGCGTAAGCACCAGATTTCAAATGCCACTCTCCCTGCAAACCCCACCTTTCAGTGAACATGAATAAGCGCAAAATGGAAAACCGTAAAAATTTGGGCTGCCCTCCTGTGTTCTTTGCCACGTTGCCTCTCCTTCTGACCACCTTCACAAGAGCTGGCTCAGAGCTTGTGCAGAAAATGACAGTAATGGTGTTGGTGCGAACCTCAAAGCTTGCCCTAATGGTCAGGTGCCCGCTAACGGCTGCAATGCCTCTGTGTGCGTGCAGGCTGCCTGCGTCCCAGTTATGCTCAGCAACGGATGGGAGTTGCCGTTCTCGGAAGTGATTGATTGGAACCAAGCTGCCGTCATAGGCGATGAGAGATTGTTATTACAGGTAAGAAAAAGACCGCGGCCTTCAGCGGATCAGTTGATTATTGCTGCCGCCATCTAAATGGATAGGGAAGATGAATCCAAAAGGTCAGGGCTATAAAAGAAGTTTTATCATGAAGGGATTGTCTGTGTCACAGTGGCTATGAACTCATTTAATATGACATCATTCATTTTTTGACCTGAAGGTCATTGCAGCTACCAGGCCACATTCTTAAATGCAGGAGACACTTATTTTTCCTAAGAGCATGAGATTTCTTCTGGTGTGGAGCACCTGGATGCCTCTCTGAGGCAGAACTGTCCTGGACCAGGTGCTGTGATGAGAGAGAAAACATCTGAAGGCAGGTTCTGCTCTAGTCCTTCAGAAATAGTTTATCCTCAGGGGTCCCACCAGCACTGTGTGTCTGGCTGGCCGGTACTGAAGAGACTCATCAGGAAAGTAGGTATTTTCTCAGGCAGGAGTTTCCACCTAACAGTTTTGTGGGAAGCAGAATCTGTCCCTTTCTGATGTCTGGACCATGTAACATTGCTTTCTGAAGTAGTGTTCATGTCACTTATTGTTAATCTCCTTGAGCTCATGGAACAAAAGCGGTCCGAGAAGTTAGAAATTCCGTGCTACCTTCAGCATCTACTTTGGTTTTAAATTCACTAGATGTTTTTTTTTTCTGTTTCCCTGGTGGGTTTTATAGTCTAAATACATTCTGTAAAGTATGTGGAGAAGTTGATGTTAGGAAAAGTTCTTGAAAAATCGTTTTCCCCAAAGTAGCATTTGATAAAATGCCATTGCCCAGCATGAAGGTGAGATCCACAAGATCTGGAATAGCCACTAAGTAGCTGTTAAGAGGCAGGGGGGTGTTTATGGTTGAATTTAACTCATGTCCAAAGTGGCAAGCTATTGTCATCCATGGAAAGAAGCCTTCAAAGGTACAGGTGTCTTGGCACCCCAAAAATGAAGTACCTTTGAAAATCTCGTTAGATGCCTGTTTACTTGTCTGAAGAAGTAAGTATTTGTGAAGAGCTGGCCTAGCAAGCCTTGCAAAGTGCTGCCTATTCTCCTTAATGTGATACAAGCTGCAAATATAAAAGGGCCATTTCATTTTTGTTTCTGTGGACAGCACATTTTTCTGACCAAAATTATTTCTCTCTTTAAATAATAATAATTTGCTGATCTTCATGCTTTCCGGTAACATGCCATTCGTTCTCTTCGCAGCTGCTTCCATATTGAACAGCTACTGCACCGTTATTAACAGTGTTTTTAAAGAGCTGGCAGAGGGCCTGAATGTCTGCTCTGGGAAATGTTTTTGTTATGTTACAGTTTTTCATTTCCTGTTTGAGAGCAGCTCGAATGTTTTTATTTGCATATTCTCCTCATCATAGCACCAGGAGAGCTTAATCCAGCCTTTCTGCATTTATTTGTGCAGGGTGGTTTTTCCCTTCCCCCTACTTATTTCTGAAATGACCTTTTATTAAGACGTCATCCAGTTCTGATAATTCCAGTGTAATCCTGCCAGATTAGTATTAATACATCATATTCCCCACCAGTCTTTCTGGACAAGTAGATTAATAACTAATAGGCAAATGCAGTTAAAATGGGAGCTCTGATTTTTCTTTCCAGCTGTTGTAACGGAGCAGGCACCGAGACTTTTTTTTTAACCTTGGCACTGTGTTTGCAGGCCCTTGCAAGCATCATGTGGTCTGTAAAATCATAGCTTCCTGCAGTAACCTTCACAGTCAGAGCAGCCTTCCCTTTCAAAAGATGTAGTTGGGAATGAGTATTGATTTTATTTCTTGCTCGTGCACGTATGCCCACATATGCAAGGTTGCACATAATGCAATGAAATGAATGAGGTTATAGAAAAAATGCCGTATCACCACTGTGAAGTGACTTTGATCATGTGTTTGCTGTTGATAATGATCCCAGGTGTGGTTAATACACATCCACGTACAGCCGGTACAGGTAATGTTCATTATCCCTCTACTTATTGGAACTTACTGGAAAAGTAATGAAAAGAAAGATTATTCACCTCAAAAGATGAAATTTGATGCAGTTATTTGCCATTCTGGAATAGTGACATGATCAGTTAGAAAAACATGTACTAATACATGTTTTTAGCTTCTATCTTTCATACTAGTTTTGCAGGGAATATTTTACCTAAAGGGCCTCTAGCGAAGGAATGTAAAGTACCATCTTCGACAGTCTGACCATTTTCTTCTGTTCCACCTTGCTGTAGTGCTAACTCTCTTATAAGCTCAAATTCTGTATTATAGTTAGCAGTGTCTCTAAGATTAAGGTCTAAGAGGCAAAGGTCTTAGAGAGCAGAGATTGTCCCATCTGACAGTGCACCCTGTGGAGCCATGGTCCTATTGGACACAGTGTCCAGACATGGATACAAACAATGCAGTAAAGAATTTACTGATTCTTGTGGAAATTTTTTACATATAAATCCTTAAAATCTCAAATTTTCTTCAGGAAAATGTCTCGTGTGAAATCATTTCATTCAGGAGCACGTGAAAGCAAATAATTGTCACTCCTACCCCTCTATTTTAGGAGTAAGCAAAGTGTGTTCTCATCAGGAAAGGGTGGGACATGGTGGGCTGCAGGTAAACTTCAGAATGAGCTGGGATGTGCAAAAAGCAACACACAGCCCAAGTATATGCTTTTACAACTAATGACTTAGGTAAAAGATTTATGAGAAATGAGTGTTTGAGAACAAGATGGCCTAATTTGAAATCATAAAAAAGCAGGTGCAAAAGCACAACTCTTCATTCCTAGAAAAAATGAACACAAATCAGCTACGTATCCTAGATGCCTTTCTGATGCTGTGAGTAGCCCTTGCAATTGAAGCAAATTGCAGTTAAATTCCCTTGATAATGTCAATTTGCATTGTCAAAGTGGAGGTCTTGGTCAAGGTCCTAAGTTAAAGAATGACACGTACGTACATTAGTTTCCCCCCAGTGTGGGAGAGGGACATGGGGATGGGAAAAGACGTAGAAGTGAAGCCCTCCCTTTCTGATTCAGTGAGCAGTTACTTTTTTAAAGCATTGCAGCAGGACAATTTGGGTTTATTTCTAAGGCAACTTATACCAGAATTAACGTGTTGATTTAATGGAGAGGGGAAAAACGAAGCAGTGTTTTCCCTTGTGAATAACAGGTGGTGTGGGAGACGTTATTCTTTCCACCCACAGTAATTAGTAAAATGCAATTTGATCCACAGGCTCCCAAAAAGTGGAGTCTTACTTAAGATGTTGCTATGTTTTCCTTCGGGCACTTAGTGTTGCCATGCTGCAGTAAATGCAATTCCAGATCTCTTTAATATACTTTGAGAGTGGAGATTATTGTTGGACTCTCAAGACCTGCAGGTACTAGTTTCTTAAAACACTAGTCCATGAAAAGCTTAGTGCATGAGGGGTGTGTGGAGGAGTTCCTTACTGTGCCGCACCACAACGTTTTATGTTACCATAAAATAACCAAAAACTTAAAGAAAGCAGATAAAAAAAAAAATCATATATTCAGTACCAAAGGTTATAAAGGGTTGTGTCTCATTCGTTTAACATTAAGGCTTTAACTGTTGACACACGCATCTCTGTCGGACAGGAGCGCTGAAGCTGTGCAGCTTGCTAATAGAGGAGAGGGCTTGTCGGCAGCATATTAATTTGATGAGATTGCATTGTTTGCTGAAGCTTCTGACTATATTACATCTTGTATTACAGATTCCTTCTACAATCAGGTCTATCCATCAGGATAAAATCCTAGCACTTAGACAGCAGACACAGTTCTTGTGGGAGGCTTATTTTTCTTCAGTTGAGAAGATTGTATTGACTACACTAGAGGTGAGTAAAAATTGTCTTGCCGAGCAGCAAGGTTTCCGTACCTGTCCAGCTGCTCCTGTCCTCAGCCAGCATCAGACCTTGGTTTTCATGACATGCAATTGGTCACTGGGAAAAAAGCTCGGCATCTTGACAAGTTTTCTCCCTAAGGAAATACTTTCTTCATTATCGAAATCCACATTAGAAAACTGACACAGTGAAAAATGGGAGCTACCTAACACATGGAAAAGTTGTCATGTGTGATCTTGCCTTCACAAGGCTTTATGGCTTATGAATCACTATCCTTGTCATTGGTAGTGAATGTGTTTCTTTAAGAAACCTTTCTGGAATTCATTTTGGAAAAAATATTACTGTAAAGCTCTTCCTTGACCATTCCTTAACATTTTGATGCCTTGTGATGGGGCTATTGGTCTGGCTGAAGGAAAAGGGGGGGCTTGTAAATCACTGTGTCTTATCTTCACGCACAGGGTAAGGGAAAGGCCTGATCATCCTTATAAAATATTAATAAATAATCATAATTAGACTGCTGTTAAACAGGGAGACAGATGATCTCAAATGTGGAGAGAATGCTTTCTGAATTCAGAGACAGAGGAGAGATGAAAGGCTCTTTAGAAGTAGGACCCAGGCTACAATTTCAAAAGCAGGTTTCTCCTCTAATTGTTTCGCAATTTTGCACGTAATTTTTTGACACACTTTTAGCACTGAAAGTGGCTCACTTTGTAGGTGCAAATGTATTCGTCTTATGCTAATGCTTCTGCAATTGCATCCGTCTTTGTGCACAGTTGTAAAGCTCCACATTTCCTGCTGTGCGTGCTTTCCCCTGAAAACTGCAAATGAGTGCTGTTTCCTGCAGTACAGGTTGCCCGTGGCTGATCTACCTCCAGCTGCTGCAAGACAGTCCCTTAGGTTTTTTTGTGCCAGTGAAGAAAACCAGCCAGGGAACATTTTCGGAGCCCCTGGCATAGCTGTCCTCGCAACGCTCTCCCCCCCCAGAAGAACATGTCTTCATCTGTGCTGCCTGTTGAGAACTGCTCTGCATCCTCAAACTCCCCATAAGCACTGATGAGATAGTGATAATTATCACAGCCCACGCCAGGATCGGACTAACAAAGCTGGAAAACCACGTGCCAGTACTCGCAGTCTAATTTACCCTTGCAGAAGTACCCTTAAGGACAATCAGGGTGCCTCATGTATCATCTGCCCCTTCCCTACATGCACCTTGTTATCGTTAGGGATTGCTAAAAGGAGAGGGGCACACGGCTCTCCTCGCTGCCCCTCTCCTGCCCGTGCTGGGGCTGGTCTGGAGGGGACGTAACCTGCAGCCCCCATGGCCTTGGTGTCCATTGCATCAAGCTCCAACGCTCACAGATGTGTCTTTAGTGCTGCCCTGGGACACGTTGGCCCATGTGGTCACAGGTGCCCAGAGGACAGCAAAATCCATAATAAAGCTGAAGCAGCTGGGCAACCAGCAAGCTGGAGTTTCCGCTTGGAGGCGAAAAGCTAAAGTGAAAACAAAAATCTTCCTGGAAGGTTTAATTTAATGAAACCAAGTAATGTATGCCTGGTGTTGAAGTTATGTTCTGGTTTTTTTCATTTGTTTGCGAGGGTGGTTTTGGTTTGAGGGGTTTTTTGTTTATTTTTTAATTCAGGACTCTCAGAAATTTTTAGACAGCTAAGAGGGATTCTGTTCTTATGAACAGATACTTGTTTCACATTTCAACTTGCCTAAGTAAATTCCTGAGTTAACTTTCCTTAGGAAAGGAATAAAACAATTGAAAGTGGTTTTTGGTGTCCGAAATCTGCAAGCAGTATCTCTTCTTCTTAAAATCTGATGCCTGGAAGTAAATTCCTAGCAGGATGGTTTTTTTCTGGTGGATGTTATCCATCTTCTGTTGTAACACTGTTGTGTCAGAGTGCTCTGATGATGCTAGATATCATCAGAATAATCACTTGCCTGCTAACTGCAGTGCCAGTATATGTCCACGTGTGAGGATATCAGTACAGAAAAAGTCTTCAGCAACTCAGGTGTCTGCAAGGACATCGCAGCTCTCCTCTGCCTTTTATCCTGGACACCTCTGAAAACATTAAGTCACATTTTAAGGTCTTTGATCTTCTCACAGCATTTGGTGGCCTAAGCCAAACAGCTCATAGCCCAAAATGAGAGGTTTGAATCATTTGGCCAGCAACCCCATATTGCAGGCACAGAGGAACTGCCTGGTGCCGTGGACATGGTGTGAGTTAGGAACCGATGTTCATGAGAGTCTGCTGCAGGCTGGTTAGTGGGAGCGCTGGCAGCACAGCAGTGGACTGCTGCAAAAAGCATTCAGACACGTGCTCCAGTGTATCTGCACTTTTTCAGCTTGGTCTTCTCTGAAAACAAACCCAAAACATCCTTAAATCCCTGTGCAGCGTGCTCAGTCCTCTGCTTGGGAAGATCCCTGTGCAGCATGCTCAGTCCTCCGCTTGGGAAGAGGAGGGGAGAGGGACAGCACAAAGTACAGACGAGAAATGTTTAATGCTTGGCAGGGGCATGTTGAGAAGCAGCAATGATTAGGGCAATATGTGAACTTTTTGAAGCGTGAGGATGAGGTACACAAAAATATTGGACTATTAATGAATTCCAAAAAGAAAAGGGAGATCTCACCAGAGATCCTAACCCCTTTCTCCTCTGATTAAACTTCCTGTCATGCCTCATCATTGGAGAGACCATGTAGGTACTGTCTATCTCTGCAATATGTGCAACTCTATACACTGCATTTTAATTGATTGGTCTTCCATGTTATCTTTTTTTATACTTTTCTGTTCTCTTTCTTCAAGTTGTCTTTTCTCCCCTCTATCATGACAGACAGCTAGGTTTCTTATGTAGACCAGGAGTGTGATAAATTAATCTTCCACTTGTTAACTGTGATAAATCACCGAGGCCAGCTCCCCAGCCTGGTGCAGAACTGTGCTGGTGAGATTTGTGTGCCTGACATGCACCGAAGGCTGCGTGTGCTGCATGGCACCAAGGGCCTGCTCCGTGTTAGAGCTGCGCTCGCTCCGGGTACGCTGAGGCAGCCTTGAATGCGAGCCATGTGTTTCCCCTGCAGCCTTGTTGGCTACCAGCACAGTGGAAAACTCCACCGTCTGTGAAAAACTCCTGACCATGTAAATTCACAGACTTCTTAACTGATTACGCCCCAGTTATGAGAAAGCAGGAGGAAGGAGCTGTCATATTTAGGCTTTGTGGTAAACACTCGAAAATACGTACTTTCTAGGTTCTGTCTTTGTTTAGTGGCATAACTTGCAGATGGAGAAACAGCAGTCATTGTCTTTTTTTTCCTCTCCCCACTAGCATGCAGGAGATCTGACAACTGATACACCTAACTTTCCAAACAGAAATATTCAGATACGCTCTTGGCAGTGATGGAAATACAGTCCTAAGTCTGTTATTCCGAGACCAAAAAAAAAGTTAAATTAACTTACGCATGTGAGCGACTGACTGCATATTAGCTATGGTAATTGGCTGTAGGCAAAATTTAGACAAGCATGCAAATACCTAACATTTGCACCAGTTTAGCAGTATGTATATCGCCACCAGCAGTGGATTGTCTAGCACAATGTAACTGGTGTTTTAATGTTTTTTTGTCGTGGCAGTCAAAAATTCCAGGAAAACCACTGCTTGTGGCAACACAGATTCATGTTCTGTATTGACCAAATGTCCCTGAACTCAGCTGCCTACAGAGATTTTAGCTTGTTTAGACTCCAGCAGCTTCTTTTGTTTGGCTTGTGTTGGGTCTTTTTGCTGCTTTTGGTTTTCCTATGCTGTGGGTATATGCCTTCTTTAGTTCCATAGATTTTAAGGCCAAAATGAATGATGAGCAATCAGATTTAGTCCAACTTCAGAGCCATAGTTTCACCCAGATATGCTTATGTTAAGGCCAGAGACATTAGATTAGGAGAACCAACGTGTTCTTGGCACTTGAGCGCTGTGCAACGCATAAACTGCCAGTTACGTGAAATCTCCTTAGGAGATCGCAGAAGATGAACTGCAGAAGAATGCAAGGCAATCCTGCTTAGCTAACTTAGGGGAAAATTCTTTCTTCACCACCCCCTGGCCCTTTGCAGTGTCCCATCTCCAGACCTGCCAACCTCTGATGCTCTGAGGGAAGGCAAATCTGTAAGAATGTGTGGCCCAACAGCTGGTTGCACTAGAAGGTTGCAATTTATTTAGAGGCTGAATTTGTCCAGTTACAGCTTCCCACCACTGAATCTTGTTATGCCTTTGCAGCAAGTTTGAAAAAGCTCCCATCGGTGCAAGAACCACCATGGTTCTTGCATACAGGTATCTGATGTGATGTAACTGTAATTAGTTTTGTAAGTACGTATTAATTGTACAGCCTTGTATCTTTTTTTGTGGCTTGTGGTATTCTAGGCGATAAAGTAGATGACCTAGCAATCTGTTCTGACCTTAAAAATGTAGGAATCTATGTTTGTGGCCCTCTACAGAGACAGAGAGTAGTTGCCAAAAGATCTTTTTCTGTTTCTTCCAAGAAGGAACTGTTACAAAACTGAGACGTGGAATCAGTGATGTATCTGAATGCTAATATCCCTTTATAATTAAGCAAAAATGAATAATTAGTGGAGCCTGATTTGCTGAAAGTCTTTGTGGTTTTGAATGCTCTCATTATCTCAAAATAATACCTAGCTTTGTAATGCCATCCTCAAATAATTATCTTTTGTGAGTTCTGGATAGTAAAACTGACAATGAACTAATCGGGCTTACAACTGCTAAGATACTCTAATAGACAAAATATTTGACTTGAAATACAAAATGCAATGAATTGCAAGGTCCCCATGTCCAGAGAGACTAATGAGGTGCTCTGAAACCTATTGCAGAAAGCCTGAGCTGCTGAAGTGGTGTCGAAGTGTGCAGGTTCTGTGTCATTTAAAGAGAGAATAAGCAGGAGTAATTTGTGTGCCTCAGCTTTTTGCAAAATGGGTGATGATTCCAGTCAGCTGGAGTCCCTGAAGGTTCTACCAGTGACTATTACTGTCTATTTAAAAATCATCACCTCTCTTGTTTTCCAGATTATTCAGGACAGAATATTTAAGCACATATCACGTAACAGCTTAATATGGAACAAACATCCTGGAGGGTTATTTGTACTGCCACAGTATTCCTCATATCTGGGAGATTTTCCTTACTACTATGCTAATCTCGGTGAGTGAATTCTTGCTATAATCTAGTGGTATTTGGAATTTCTAGTGGAAATTTGGAATTTGATCTTTGAGTAGCATGTGCCAAGTGACTTACCATTCATTTCTAGTTAATGGTGCCTTTCATTTATCCTGTCTCAATCTTCCCTGCCCACTGTAGACTGGAATGTCTCTGACTCATCAACATGCATCATATGCCTCTCGCTTGCAAAGATTGCTTTAAAAAAATCTATGTCCCTTCATACATTTCAGTTGCCAGTAATTAATTCCTGAGTTGCTGACCCATTCATGGCCCGAGGGGACAAAAGAGGAATAGCTTTTTGCTTTCTTCGTTTATTTGTGCTTGGCAAATTAGAAAAGTGGTAATTTACCCATGACACTTGTTATTGGAGTGCATAGTTGGTATGGATTTATTCTCCATACTATGTGTCTTCATATGGATCCCACTAGAAGGAATGAGTAGGGCTTAGGTTCGTGGCTTTTTCCTGAAGCGGAGCTTAAGTGATGAGTTCTGCAGGGGAATGTGCCTGCAGGCTAAAATGATCCTGCTTACCAGACTGCTGCTACTTTTGGCTCAGCCTGTGCCATCCCACTTGTGTGGATCTGTACTGCTCACCTGCTAAAAATTCACAGTTACCATGTTAAAAAGGGAGGAGGTTTCTTTGGGAATTTTGATGAAAAATGACTATGACCCTACACAGATGAATTTAGATGAGATTGAGAGCAGTAATGAAGGGTAGACGCCAGTAGGATCTGTTGTTGCAGGCAGAAAAGGAAATCATAGCGAGACAAAAATACCAGAATGGAAGGCAAGGGTGCAAGCAGAATTATCAGCTTAGGAGGTAATTGAAGATGCATGTGGTGGGGATCGACCCAGAAAGAGCAAAAATCTGACAGAGGCTGTAATGGTACTGAGGAAACTGAACAAGCTTCTGGAAGTTGTGGAGATAATCTGTAGAAAACATCAAGCATCCAGAGCCAGGCAGCAAAACAGAGCCTGTGTCAAGAAAGACATTTGGTGGAACAAACTAGATGTCAATATTATCTGTGGGACAAACTGGGTGAAAGAAAGAGATTGCAGGACATCTGTGGAAATAGTGAGTAAAAAGAGGCAGTAATTGTGTTGGAGTCAGGGATTTCAGAGGGTGTGGGAGTTAAAGGGAAGTGTGATCTGCTCTGAAGCATCTGGTATCCTAGTATCCGAGACGAAAGGAGATAGCCTAAAAAAACATGGCAAGGTTTGCATTAAGTGCAGATTATTTTTCCATCTCCAGACTCCTTTAGTCTGTACTAACCAGAGCAATTTTTTCTTTTCTGAATACGTATCTCTTCACTTCAGGTCTGAAGCCTCTTTCCACATTCACTGCCGTTATCCACGCAGTAACTCCCCTGGTTTCCCAATCTCAGCCTGTGCTGAAACTCCTGGTTGCTGTAGCCAAGTCCCAGTACTGTGCACAGGTAAGCAGTCAATCTGTCAACCTGTCAATCACAATGGAGACAAACTACTATCCCAGGAGTGAAGAGCCTACTGACTTGAGATCTTCTCAGTCCTGTTTCAACCCCCTGTTTCAGTTCTGATGTTTCTTTTCTCTGAGATTTCTACTGTCTGTGACCTGCATGCATGGGAAACAAAAATTCTGAGTATAGGGGGAGTGGAATAGAGACGGTAATTAAACCCCTTTGTTTCATGAGGCAGGTAAAGTAATGACTGCACTTTAAAGATCAGGACTGTGTGTGCTGCAAACTGCAAAAGGATGTCTGTTCCTCAAGAGCCCCTGCGTGATCTTCCTTCCTCCTGCTGTGGCTCTTAGTCTCAGCAGTGCCAGGATTTTAGCTTCTCTAAAGGAAACCCTGGGGAGTTCAGTAGGAGCACCCTCTTGCAGTGGAGTGTCATAAGTGGTTTAGCCTTTAATGAGAGCCAAAGTAAATTAGTGACATCTGTATGACCTGGCCGAGATAGAGACTTCCTGAGTTCCTGTCCAGCCTATATTTGCCTGGGAGGATGTGTATTGTAAATAGACAGGATGGGTGAAATTACTGTAGGAAGTGTTATTGTTATTCACATTTGTATCATTGTTGTTGATTTTGAAATTCCTAGCTTGAATTTAACATTTCTGTCTGGAGATCTGAGTCCTTAGGGTTTGGACTGCATTGCCACAAAGGTCTCTGATCCTGGTCCAATATTCTCTTTCAGATTATTGTTTTATGGAATTGTGATAAACCCCTCCCAGCCAAACACCGCTGGCCTGCCACTTCTGTGCCTGTCATAGTCATTGAAGGAGAGAGCAAGGTAGGTGGGGAGAAGCATGGTACAAGAGTGTGTATATTCTCCAGTGGGACCAGAATTTATTTTTCCAGCTGCTTTGGTGAAAGCTTTGTAGTTCCCAACAGCGTGACAGCTCCTTTCTATACCGTGGCCTTTTGTACCAGCTTGGTCACAGATCCGTGTTTCATGCATGAGGCCCGTGCTCTCAGAAATCGTCAGCGTGGCAATTAATGCTGCGAATCTGAATTCACAGGTGGGACCCAGTTTTGAAATGTGGCCCCGAAAGTAGGTAGTGCTGACCCCATCTTTGGAGATTTCTGTCTCTCTGCAGGTGCGTGAAAGTAGTGATGCAGCTGGATTCATTGAGTCTGAGCAGTCAGATGCAAGACTTGGGGGTCAGCTGTGGACTCAAAAGCAGAGGAAGAGATGAGAATGAATGGTGTTAACTCGTCTTTGAAAAGTACCTTCTCTCATGGCCTTGTAGGGTACTGCTGCCAGTGATGGGATCCCACTACCAAAAAAAAGGAAGGGACAAGGGACACTTGCATGGGAACAACACCACCATGTCGTCCCTTGCTGTGCAACACACTTGTTTGTTTGCACTTCCACAAAGTCAAAACAGACACCACACAGATGAGAAAAGAGTTGTTTTTTTAAAATCTACACCGAAGTGGATGATTCCTTTCCAAATGCAGGCCTGAGAGAAGCAAGACTTCTTGCTTCTAGACTCTGACTGAGACAGATTTGGGCTGGTCCCCTCTGCAATCTCTTTCAGCTGGCTCTTGCGCTCTGCGTTTGCAAAAGGAACTTTTAGTTGCTTTGGCTGCACGATCCTATTTTGAATTTATAGTCCTGTCTTTGGTCTTTTCCCCCAGTCACCTTAACAAGAGGAAAGCGAGAGCCCTGCGAGGTTGGCAGCTAATGGCTCTTGCCTTAGCTAGCCAGGTAAACAGTATCAGGAGAGTTGCTGCAGGGCCGAGAAGGGCTGTAGTGATTTCTGAGCCTTTTGAATGTTGTGGGGTTTTTTTCTTTCTTTTTGGAAAACTTGCAGAGGTGAGATAGAGGAGAAAATCTCTGACCAGTTCTACAGTGTTTGTAGAAATTGGCCCCAGGCACTGTTTAGATTACAAATGAGTCTCCTGAGTACACAAAGGTGTGTTTATAGTGGACAGTCTCTTCCCTCTAATATCCCAACGTATGCCAAATGGCTTCTTGCGCCGAAAAGCTGTGTGTTTGGACAAAGCTTGCAGAGCCAGAGCAGTGCAATTCAAAGGTTGCACAAAGGAACTGCTTTTCATCTTCAGACTTAACTGAAGCGTACTGGCAGGCACAGTTACTCCGTGCAGCTGATCACAGAGTTCTGCCTTTACCTAACCTTCACTCTTCGCCATGAAATCAAGATATATTATTGCACCCATTTTACAAAAGGGAGCTTTAACTACAAAAACAAATACATGCATAGTACCGACTGTTGTACTGTTTGACAATTTTCCACAGTCTGTAAAAGAGCTGGGGTGAGAACGCTGGTCTCCTGTCGACCACTTGCTCTGCTTTGCCTTAGCGTAAGCAAAGCACAACCATCAGCCCCTGCCAGATCACCTCTTCCTCACAGCTACTGCCTCCCTGGACCGAGGCCATCATAGCGATGAAGGAATGCTCTCCAGGCAGACACTGTGAACATCCTGATTATGGAGGCAGAGCTTTCTCTGAATCGAGGCATAGATTCCAAAGACTTGCTTCCAAACAGGTTGCAGGGGACGCAGAACTGACCTTGTCCATTATGAGGGACAGGTAAAACTTCTCCATGTCACTGTTTTCGTACAGTGATTTCCTCTTACTGGGCCTGATTTTTGTAGTGTTTTCTTGGCATAATAAATTGGAAAAGAAGTCTATTAACTAGCCAGGCTATTTTTCCTAGCAAATGCGGGAAACAAATAGTGTTGTGTCCTTGTTACTATTCATCAGTTCTCAAAGGATGCTAATTAGTCTGCTTAAGAAACCATATGGATTCTCATTTCTTGCTGTTATCTTTTTGATCCCTCTTTCCCATCTATTTCCTATTACTTTGAGAACTGTCCTGCCATAGTTTTTAAAAGCTTATTCTGCATATAGATTATATATATAGTTATGTCACTTAAGAATGTGACTTTTTAAAATGCTACGATACCAATATAATTCTTGATGCAGGTGAAGCTCTACTGATGCACATGTTCTTTAGCATATTCTGCTTTTCTGATGGAGAATGTTGCACCATTTGGCAGCAGCTCCCTGTGGATACAATAGCAATGCACAGAGATGGAGCTGTGCCACTTTACAGGGGAACCAGCCTGGTAGCATAACATCCTTCACACACAGCCTGGACTGCTTGGCTTCCCAGCTGCATAACCTTATGAATGCTGCAAAGTCCTTCTCAGCGTCCATTATCTTTGATCCTCACACCCTGTAGGAGAGCAGAGGGAAAACGTCCTCCCTAAAGAAGCTGTAGGTACATCTAATTCTCAGTACGGACCATTGCAGTTTGTCACAAAAGGAAGGCAGCCTGCTCCAAAGAGGGAGTTCTGTTCAGAAATTACTCCTCAGGTAGAAGGTGTAGGCTGACTGCTGCAGTGATGAAAACGACAGTCTTTCACTCTTGAGGTGAAGAGTCCTTTCCATCAGACAGAGATACACGATGTGCCTCAGACAAGAGGAAATAAGAGTGAGGAATAAAATGGAGTATTTCCCTTGGAAATGAGTCCTTCAAGTGATTTTTTTCCTCCCCTTCCTGCCTTGGATACCCACAGGTTATGAGCAGTCGCTTCCTACCCTACGACAACATAGTGACAGATGCAGTGCTAAGCCTGGATGAGGACACCGTGCTTTCAACCACTGAGGTAAGGGTCTCTGGCATCTTGGGAGTCTGCTTGGCTCCTTGGCTCAGCCTGAGCACAGCAGATAGGTCCTTCCCTTGGCGTTGCCAGTGAGCAAACATTACAAGATTTCCTGCTACGCTCCTCAGATTTAACGTGTTGCACTTGTTTCAGCAACCCTGCCACTGCCTGCCATCAGAGGAGCTTTTCACCCTGGTTAATTGGCTCATCATTAACATACGGTTCTTCCGTTCTTTATTATTTTAGTAACATAGTTGCAGGCGGTTGTAGGCAGCCGAGAGCAGTCAGCTTTAATACTCTGTTCTCACTTTTCTCATTGGGGTAGCTTTTTTCCCCCCACGTTATCAGTAGGGTGTAGGTGGGGAAAGAAGGGGTGTCAGCAACAGGGGACTGCTGTCGCTCCAAAAGACAGCATTGCCACCCTAATGCAGGATTTCACTGGGGAATGTTCTCTCACCATTGTGTTGCCCCATAAAATTGGAGATCTTTGCTAGTTTAGGTGTTGGAGTGTTTGTGCCAAGAGCAAGATAGCGCTAAGAAAAGAAAAATACTGTAGAAAACCAATTTTTACAACTGGGATGAGTATTGATTTCTGGAATCTCTTCCTGAGAACCACAGGGGAAACTGATGACAGTTTATATAGAGTGCAATATTTGGGAAATACATTATTAATGATGGCCAGGGAATAGCTTGAAAAACTCTATTTTCTTTTGTTTTCCCTTTTTTTTCCCCATGTTCACGGCCATTCCCTTCTCCCCACTTCACCTTTATAAAAATGCTTTTTTCTCAGTGATGGGGATCTTTCACTGATGCTACCACTGCTTATATGTCAGTGAAGAAATGCCTAACATTAGTCACCAGTCACTGCTATATACCCTAAGATGTCACTGAATTTGTTCTAAATGGATGAGATTGCAACCACTGTTCTCCCCAGTACGGATTGGTTGTGCTGTGGTTAGACTGCTCCAGGAGCCACGGTAGCCCTCTTCTGCTGCACAGATGGAAGAAGTAGTTGGCATCGAACCTATTTGATACCAAGATTACACCTTGGTAGTTTCTGCTAGATGAGGAAGAATACAACTGCTGCCAAAACACTTGTGTGCAAAGCCCTGCACAGCGAAAAAAAACTAAAACCAATAAAAGGCATTTATCCTAGGCCTGGAGTTCCTAAGCAGGTTGTTGCTCAGGATGAAGGGTCCTGTCTCAGCTGCGCTGGGGGCCATGGTGAGACCTCTCAGGGACTTCATTGCACTGAGGTGGTATTTACAGCAATCCAGCCTGTGGATTACATGAGGATTTGGGGCTTTTTTTTGTTTTGACTGGTATTTAGTCATCATCTAAACTTTGGAGTCATTCAGGCTTCTGGAACGCATATGAAATAAATAGTGTTTCTCATTTGGCTTGGCTGTGTTATACCCTAAACATTCTGAAACGCAAATATTTGTTGTTGTGTGAGACAACATACACATTTCTTTGTGGCTTCTTCCCTCCTGTGAGCAGCTTGCAGCCGATATCGCATGTTTGCACGGTGGGTATTGGCTCTACAAGCCCCGTGGCCCTGTGCTACAGAGAGAACCAGCTGGCCAGCTCTTGCTAGCACCCGCCTTGCAGCTTCAGCGTGTCTCTGCAGGGTCAGCAGCTCTCTTTGGTGGCTCTCTGTGAAGAACTGGGGCCTTTCTATTGCTTCACTTGCCATGTCATACGACTTACGCAAAGAAACAGCATGTTGAAACACTGACATGAAACGTGTGGTGTGGAACTTCCCTTGAAACTGGCTGCTCATGGGTGGTCGTTGTGGCAAAGCTTCAGAGCCCAGAAAAGGCAAGTTAGAAACGTGGTCAAACACGATCACATTCCTGTTGAGAGAGCAGTCACCAGGCACATCCTCTGCTCTGTCCAGCGCTAGCGTAGTAAAGGTTTTCCGTTCACAACAGAATTGCTCTTGTGAGAGGAGCTGTTTCACATTTGCAGAGGGATGTTTGCCTGGGAAGTAATTAGAAATCAGCACGGGTCAGAAGTGATACAGGGGTTTAAGAGACTGGCAGCCTGGTTGTTTTTTCCTGCTGATCAGCTGAATGGTAATGCTGCTGGAAATTATATGGGATGAGGACTGTTTTTTTTTTAATAAAGGGAGTTTTCTGTTAGGGTGGTTGCTTTAGTGCATCTCCCTGGTACAAGGACAGATACTTGAAAGCACAAGTGAGGGCAGCTGCTTTATTATTTATTTAAGTTTGAGATTCTCAGACTTCTCTAAAGAAAACAGATGTCACGTTTTATGGGAAAGGCCTTGGAAATTATATGGGATGAGGACTGTTTTTTTTTTAATAAAGGGAGTTTTCTGTTAGGGTGGTTGCTTTAGTGCATCTCCCTGGTACAAGGACAGATACTTGAAAGCACAAGTGAGGGCAGCTGCTTTATTATTTATTTAAGTTTGAGATTCTCAGACTTCTCTAAAGAAAACAGATGTCACGTTTTATGGGAAAGGCCTTTACAGGGAAAAAAAAACCTTTAGTTCTTTCATGTGGTATTGATTTGGATGAGATCAGAACTATCACAACGGTAACTGGTTTGTGCACATTGTCTTTCTAGTTGGCCTCAAATTCCTTGAAACAACCTCAAAGAAAATAACCAGTCCCTAGCTTTGTTCCAGTACATGTGCGACTCTTCTGTTTCATAAAAACTTGTAAATGAGAGAAGTCTGACAGTAATCACACAAAATGTGACTGTTCTCAGAGCAGCTATTCTTTATCTAACCTCTACACCCTTGACTTTGGCTGGGTTCTTGGAAGGTTTTTCAAGCATTTTTGAGCGAAGTTTTAGGTCCCTCTGGTACTGGAGGGAACTTGGTGTGCAGTGCAGAAACAAAGCCCTCATTTTCTTGGGTTTGACTGGGACAATTAGAATTGTCTTTAACTCTTTTTAAAATTTCAGTCTAGCTTGAGCTCCAAAATCTAAGTTGAAATGGAGGGACTCCCAACCAACTGTACAGTGATAAAAATCTTTCCATATGTATTTTTACCAAACACCTTTTAAATCTAGCGCTGATGAGCCTTTTGCAAACTACCCCAATCATCCCTTTCCTAGTGTCACCAGGATTTGTTTGTTGGGATCCTGGGGTAGCAATGTCCTGTCATTTTTTCAGTTCTCAGAGATTTGAGTTATTAAAATAGTTACAGCAAGACAATAAAATAAAAAACCACTATTGGCAGCATTTGACATCTTCTTGTGGTTCGTGTACTATCAAGCATTTTTCTTAAAGTATAGGCTCCTAAAGCCATTTAACTACATGGGAATCTTATCTTCTTCTTTATTAAGCTATATGTTTAACCCTCTTGGTCACATAGACAGTGTTAAAAGTATGACCTGCGTGTAGCTCAAAGGCTCAGAACGGATGGAAAATATAAAAGGACTCCGCAATGATTGCCTGTTTTAATCTCACTGAGCCACCCTTATAATTTAAGGTGTTTGACTCCTGATTTTCCAAGCTTTGTGTTGACAGTACTGAAATGGTAGGTGAGATGCACAACGATGTGCAAAAGGTTCAGTTTACTACATAGCTATTACCTGTCTATATTGCATCTAAGTAAAAATACATGCACCTACACCCATTCTTTCTGCAACTTGAAAAGGTTTGGTATGTAAAGGGCAAGCTTGAAAATGTTAATGTAATGCTGTGATACTCTAGACTCCCTTTCACAGGAACCATTAAAATGTGCATAATTATAGGGCAAAATGTCAAGCAGTCAGTTTAATTTACTGATGAATACATAGAATTAATGTTTTGCAACAGTTCCAAGATTTTGAATTACGAATTAGTGGCAAGGTAATATTTTGTTTTGTTGACATTTGTTGAAACAATTTTGGTATTCATTTGGCCTGTGCCTTTGTCCACAGGTGGATTTTGCCTTTACAGTTTGGCAGAGTTTTCCAGAGAGGATTGTAGGGTACCCTGCTCGCAGTCACTTCTGGGACAACACTAAGGAGAGGTGGGGGTATACCTCCAAATGGACTAATGACTATTCCATGGTATTGACAGGAGCTGCTATTTACCACAAGTAAGAACCCAAAGCATCTGCTGTCCTCCTTCTGTATGAAACAAAATAGTAAAGGGTGGGGGTGGTGAAGAACATTCTTCCGGGGAGGGGAAAAAATGAAAAGATAATAAATGGGTCTACTTTTTATGGGGTAATAATTTAAGTTCTTGGTTTAGCTCTGGGGATCTGGTAATCATTATTGCGCTTGTTGGGTCTCTTTGAAGTCACTTGTATTTTGAGGCAGTCGGACTGCTCTTTTTAACATCAGGAATTACACACTTCAAAGAGTTCCCGAATTCATTAAGCTGCTCAGCTGAATGGCCTGTAGCATAGCAGAAAGGAGGTTACTTCCAGACCAGCTCTGGGTACGTGTTGGCTGACAGTTGCAGACTGCAAAGTCTTCTGGCTACTCTAGAAATGTAGTACGGTGGACATGTCACGGATCAGCATATTGCAGGATGTTGGAGAAAACCCCTGTTGTTAGGACTTCAGCAGACCAAAGACCTCTCTAGATTTTAGGAGAAAGGCACCAATTCTGGAGTATCTAATCCACATCCCCACAAAGGCGAAGACAGGCCATACGGGATGATACAGGCCCCAATAATTTCAACAATAAGGACAGTAGTAGGCCAGTTTAATAGAGTTCTCTCCAACTGAACAGTTTTGAAAGAAGAGGTGGAGGATGAATTCATCAGTGTTGTCTATCACATTATAGCACTGTGGTGCTCTCTTTCCTGCTTCTCCATTATCTTGATAGTTAGGTCTGCATTATTTCCTTCAACCCAGTTACAAAAAAGGCATATGTTGTGTTTCTCTGTTAGCACTATTTACTGTCTTGATGAGATACTGATTTGTTCTCCCTTCTTTTTGGAGGATGAGACTGAAGAAAGGGAGTAGTATATCCAGAGTTCAATACAAAACTTGTCTCTCAACTGAGAGAGAAATTTCCTGGAGTTTGTAATCCCTGAAAGCCCAGTGACTTGTATGAATAATGCTGCTGTTGGTTTCCAGATATTATCACTACCTGTACACTCATTACCTGCCTGCCAGCCTAAAGAATATGGTGGACCAACTGGCCAATTGTGAGGACATTCTAATGAATTTTTTGGTGTCAGCCGTGACAAAATTGCCTCCAATCAAAGTAACACAGAAAAAACAGTATAAGGAGACCATGATGGGACAGGTATGTACCCACAGTGTATTTTAGCAGTTGGGATGTATTGATAATATAATGGTTTGACTTCTAGGTTAGGCTTACAGAGTGATACAATTCTGTCAATTTTTTTGCAGTTTTTAGTTTAGCAGAACTGTAAATAGACTTCAGATATGCTTATTATAATGAAGGAAAAGGAGAAATGGCAAACATCTACTATGGATCACAGCTGGTCTTCATAGTTTTCTCACACAGTGTTATTCACGGTGATCCCAAACTCATGGGACTGATGATTGTGGTGATTGAATTTCAGTTAAACTCCAGTTTTCTAATTAAATATTCTAGACCTAAGACCTAGTCATGGAATGCTAGAAGCAGAAGTAAATTTTAGATAGGTTTTCTATTTTTAATTATTATTAATGAATATAATGTACCAGGCCATCCCTGTGCTATTTTAAAGTCTATAGTGTGATTCAAGCACTGACATCAGACTATCACAACAGAGGTAATTTGTGATATTCAAGCGTTTTTTCCCACAAGGAACATTTTGTCCCACAGTGACGCCATCACTCACTAGCAGCCATGAAATGCTTGCTTTAGATTCTCTTCCTGGAGGATCCTGGATAGATCCTATCCTACTGGATAAGCACTGTGTCATTGCAGAAATGGATGTACCTTCTAGTAACAGGGATACATGGTAACCTGGGGACACTTTTCCTCCTGCCCTGTGTGAGCAAGTGATGGGAGGAATAGCAAGTCCTGCAAGTCCTGCAAGTCCTAAACAACCTCCCAGTGTCTGTGATCCTCACTACAAACAGTACCATGATTACTAGGGGGCAGGAGAAAGACGGGGCCCTCTATTTTCCCCTCACATTTTCGCCTGTTAGCATTGCTTGGATCTTTGACTGGGGAGTGGCCATGCCAGTTTGTAGACTCCCTTATCTGTATACCACTGCACTTTCATCTAAGGTATAGGTAGCATTCAGCAATTCTGACTCATCAGGGTACCCAGAGACCTTCTATAAAGAAGAAGGTGCCATCCAGAAAGAACCTATTGCTTCCAGTTTGAGCTTCACCTCTCCACAGGGCTGTGCTTTGGCTGTTTGGCAAAATCTGAACATTCATTTTTCTTTTTATAGCGCGGGTGACTTGAGTCAGCCGTGAACTATAACTCTCTCCTAAAGACAAGTTGTTCTTGCAGCTTTGGGAAATGTAATGGACCATGTTCATAATTCCTTGAAAGACAAATAAAAAATTAACCTAACCTCAATGTTGTGACAGAGATTAATAGTCGTATGGAAATTCACTGTTAATGGCCAGAATGTCTGCTATAATCCTCTAGCAACAAGCTTTTGCTTGCTCTTTAGTGGCTCAGCATAATCAAGAGTCTGTAATAAATGCACATTATAACCTACCAACTGGACAGGCCTTGGACAGAGATCAAGTCTGATACCCCACTCATTTGGCAAGTCCCTGACTTTATCAGTTTCTTCGCATTTTAATTAACACACTTTGAGTTTATGAATTTATATTTGTTTTTAAAGTATAGTGGAAACATAAGTGCTATGCAGAGATGCATGAGAAGCGGCACAAAACTTAACTTAGGTTCTCAGCATTCATAGTTTATCTTAAATAATAGTTTTATTATGTTTATACATGTAGTTCAGGTACAGATAGAGAATAATAACTGCTTCAGAGCTGTTAGGACCTTATTTTTCCAGAGGTGCTGAGTTTCATGGACTTTCATAGGAATTACAGCTGCCCTGAACTTTGGAAAATCAGGCCACAGTATTTTGCGTGTATACATGCAAAGACCATGGTCTTTTCCTTGGGTCAGAGTTTAACGTGATGTAACATGGAACTTCAGTTAATTTTCTCTGTCCGTAAGACGGTACTGTCTTATGCACTGGCCTTGGCCGGTGGGATTCCTGGAAGCACCCTGCTTTTCTCTGCAGGACATCTACCCGCATGAGTAATGCCAAGCATGTAAGGACTTCTGCTGAGCTCAGTTACAAACTGGTTGAAATTGCTCTGCAGATCTGGACTGCAAAAGTGTGGTTTTGACCTGAGAAACCATAATAATCGCAGTGTGTTTTCCGTGTACGGCTGAAGGTCGTGGGCAGCAGCTGGCTGTAGGATGTGCACCTCCAGTGGAAAGCGGTGGCCTTCTTGTCTTTCCTGGTGGTTTTTAAGGACTTGTTCTATCTCTGAAATAGCTTGAGGGTTTAAAAAAAAAACAGAGTGAGGGAGGGGGTGAAGTAGTGTGCTGGCAGGCTTTGGGAGGCCTGCTTGCGGGTGTCATGCTCTGGGTCAGGTTGGCTCATGGTCGAAGTCAGGACACCACGCTGCACTGCCCTCAGCGCTGTTGTGAAAGTCAGGGGTGGCCGGCTCGTCATCGCCGGCTCCCGCTGCCGGGAGTTTGAAACGCC